TTTTTTGAAAAGCACACATCACCTTTAAAAGGTATGGAAGTCCTTGATGATGACGACAAAAGGGAATTAGATCCTGTAAGGAAAAGGTTATTTGTAGATGATAGTTTTACCGATGGGGATGATCTTGTTGAACAAGGAGATGACAGTTCATTGGTTATTCTAGAAGAAGAACCATTTCTCACATCTTCCCCCATTAAATTTCAGCAAAATATTATATTAGAGGCACCTCACAACGACAATTCCATTAAGGTTGCCCTTGATGAATCACCAACGAAGAAACGGAAGACGAAAACAGACATTAATCTAACGCCCAGTAATGACTGCCCAGGACAAGATGCCAAAGATAATCAAGTTGAAGAAGATCTTCTAAAAGAAGATGAACTTTTCATCGATAAGATTTTATATGAAACTGAAGAATTAAAGAAGATATTGAATGTCGATTCAGATAGTAATGATGAGGATCTATAAACTAAAGAACATACAAAATAATTTATGAATAAATGAAGCGATTTATTTGAAATTTTTTTTTTTTTTGGTATCTAATTATTATTTCGTTGTATAAAATATCTAATATATAATATAACAGAATGTGCAAACTGTATTTTACTGATTATGGTTTAACCGATCATTAAACAGTAACTTCTTCAGATGGTTCATCTTCATCTGGTACAGTTGAAGATTTATCTTCTGAAGATGATGGGGCAGATTCTTCAAATTCAGAAGTTTCTATTTTTTCATCAACGATTGGTTGTTCAACAGTAGAAGCTTCTGACTTTTCTAAAGCTTCAGCTGCTTCAGGAGGAACAACTTCTTCTTCTTCTTCTTCTTCTTCTGAGTTTGGATCAACACCAAATACCTTTTCACGTTCTTGGAATTTCAAGTTAGCTTGAGATCTCAAGACATACATTTCTTCACCGAAGTCGTTGTGGAAAGAGATGATAGAATCACCGTATCCTTTAGTGTATTCGTTAATGTCGGATCTATCATCTTCAGCCTTTTCAATTAAGACTAATTTGGACATAGCACGTCTCTTAGTTCTCAAGAATTTCTTCCAATTCTTCTTTTGTTCTTCAGTACCATTTTTGTTGTTGACACCTTCACCATAGAAGCTAACCATTTTTTCTTCCCATTCCTTGATAGCTTGTTTACTCCAGTTGCTGTAAGAAGTCATCAATTCAGTACGTTTGACATTAATTAGATGGTTAGTACTGCTGGTCCAGCTGTTCATAACATTGAAAAATACAGAGATAGTGTCTCTGAATTCGGTGATGTATTTGTCAAACAGTTGACGCACATCTCTACGAGATACATATTTGATTGTTTCACCATCGTAATTTTGATAGGAGACAGAACCGTCATCAGAAATAACTTTCTTACATTCAATGTTTTCAATATGCTTGGCAATTTCGGCTCTGCTTCCCTTGTAGATGTTCTTTAACTTATCGGTGGAAGCTTGCAATTTTGGTCTGAAAATAGTGATTTTATCATCCTTGTATTTAGTAGCATAAGCTTCGAACAAGTCCAAGTTATATTGAACCTTCGCATCAATCATTTTATTCCAAGCTGAAATATAGGCTTCAACAGATGCATCATCAGCAATGGTGACATTTTTTGAACCATCTTTGATAGAACTTTCGATTTCTGCAATTTCTTCTTCAGTTAGGATTAATTCTGGAGCAATCTCAGGAGTTTCCTTTGGTTCATCTGATGTAACTACAGTTTTCAAGACAGTTGAGGTAATGGTGGTAGTTTCTTGTTGTTCTTCAGCTTCTGATTCTGGAGTAGATTCGACTGAACTTTCTTCAACTGAAGATTTGCTAGTGATTTTTCTCTTTTGAACTGGGGTACCGACAGTTTTTTCACTGACAACTTCAGTTGTGAAGGAAGTTACTGAAGAAACAGACTTGGTGACAGATGTGACTTTTGAAGCAATGGAAGTGGAAGTTTCTTTAACCTTTTCGACAAATTTTTTACCTTTGTCTGAGACAGCTTTTTGGATTTCCTTGATGTCGACTGCAGAGAATTTTAATTCCATGGTTTCAACAAAGTTGGCCCAATAAGCCTTAACAATTTCCAAATGTGGTCTCATTTCTTCGCAAGAGGTTGGAATGTTATAACTTTTCAAAAATGGGATAACTTTAGCATGGGCTTGATCACAGACATTATCTAAACCAATTTGAGTTTTCAAGTGTAAACCTAATGGTCTCAAAGTAACTCTGTAGTATGACAAAGTTCTTTCATAACCTAATTTTGCATATTCGACTGATAAATCGACATATTGTTGTAATTCGTAATCGTTGTAAAATTTAACAATTTTATCAGTAGCAGGTTCGATGTAAACTTGAGCTTCATTGATATAATGAATAACATTTGGTTTAACGGAGACGTTATATTTATCGTAAACTGTAATGAAATGTGGTGAAATATTTCTTCTATAGTAACTACAGTCGTTAGCAATAACTTGGTTCCAGACAATTGGGTTAGTGTAATGACAAACTTGGTTCAATTCATCAGAACAACCTTTAATATCACAATAAAAGTGTAATGAAACAATTAAAGTTGCCAATAAGGCTACCAATTTAGTGAAACACTTCATCACTGTTTCTTACTCTACTGGGTTGGGTGGTTAGAGATAATGAAACCGTTTCAGAAGTAATGTTTGATTTAAACAAAAGCAAACTCGACTAAGCAAACAGTAATTATTTAATAGTCAAAAGTAAAAGGTAAAGTAATTTAATTTGAATGAGGATTTATCAATTATAAAAAATAGCTATTTAAAGAGTACTTGTTTAAAAGAAAATTAATTCGAATCGATAGATCAAACCAAGTTTTTACGAAACCCAAGATAACCATATTCCTATGGTTCATAACTAAAGAAACCATTGAGAAGTGAAGAAGGAAATGTGAGAGGGAGGTGGGAGAGGGGATACGTGAAAGAGGAAGTAAGTAATGGGACAACCCATATAATAAATAGTCAGTCGAAATTGAGTAAGAAAGGGAGAGGAGAGTGTTGTAAAATTTGAAAAGAACTAACGTGTAAAAATATATATACACATATATCTATAATAAGGATGAAAAATTATATAGTACTGTTGACGGTGGTGGTAGCAGCAATAAAAGGGAGAGGGCTACAATTCATCGATCTGTCAATGTGAATAGATTTTTATTCTATTTCATTCTATACAGACTGTAACAACATTACAGATTTTATTTTATTTTATTTTTTTTTTTTTTGTTATAACAAAATGCTAAGATGGCACGATAGGAATGAATTATAGTGTAATTCTCTGTATTTATTGCCATTGAACGATGACGATGTGTAGTAATTAAAAAAAAAAATAATAATCCTCAATTCTTGGAAGTTTGATTTTAGCCTAGCTTAGCTCAGTGGGATGTTTGTTATAGAGAAAAACCCAATACGTACGTGTAGGTAGGTAGATAGATAGATAAATACTCTTGGAAGTCTGATCTCTATATTCTCATACAATCGTACTGTTTACCTGAATGTCTTCATATTAATCAATTGATATTGGTTGTATTAAAATAGATGCAGGTCTATGGATGGATGTTCTTGTGTGTGTCGATGAAAGTGTATGGATATGAGGTTGAGAAGCAAAAGAAGAAATAAGCAGTGTATGTGGACCTTCCTATTTTACTACGCCTGTTTCTGATCAAGAACAGAAAATGGGATTTATTGTTTTTGTGTAAATGAAAAAAAAGAAAAAAACCTCTTCATTTGTCTGGTTCTTTGTCTTGCAAGACAAATACGTGCATAAAATATACCGTCTCGGAAAAACTAACTGCTGACAGCTGCGGCAGTTTTCTCTGCGAGTTGGGAAACTTTTCGAAATTGCAAAAATGACCGACCACAAAAATGATAAAGAAAAACATAAATAGAAAAACAAAAGCAAAAGCAAAAACAAAACAAATTTTTTTCCAATTTTTGCCCGGCTGTTCCCAATTCGGAAACATGACAACAGAGTTCTCAAAACAGTAGTCGTCCATAAACGGACACTTCGCCAGTGGTCTTCGGTTACCGTCCAATAATAAAAACCTCCATACTTACCCTTTTCTAAGGATAGAATAGTAAAATCCTAACCAAACCCTAATGTCACGTGCGTCAAACTGTCAACGTTGGCAGATTCGATATGATACTCTACCTTCTTGATCATGTTATAATGCTGTTTTATTTAATTTATGTGTGTGTGTGTGTTCCCCCCTAATATAACTGGAAAACCTAAAACCAAAAATAAGCCAAAAATAAAAAGAAAAGAAATCCAATATCATCGAGAATTCCTTCTTTCTGCTTCCCCTTCCGCTTCTCCATTTACCTATTCTTCTCTTTTGTGGTCACCTGACCTGCTGCTGATATCAAGCCGGGAACATATCCAAGACCCATTTTACTCAATTTCCTGATTTTAACAGGTGAAAAATTATTGGAATTGAAGAATGAACGTTAGGACCTTGAATCAAGAACTATCTGACCTTTTAGAGGTTTTGCTACATTAAATTAAGACTTGATTTGTTAGATTTTTTTGGTCTGGATAAAATTAGGTTTATTATATTGGCGTTAATATTTTGTAACATTTACAGATAGAGATAGAATTTGTGTGGTGGTGAATACACTAGTTGTCTTTTGTTTAAGGAAACTAATACAAATTAATCAATCTAAGTTGCACTAAATTATATTATATTATATTATATTATATTAAGTCGCTAATAACTTCATCATTTGATTGTTTAAGGAGGCTTATTAATTAACTCCGGTTATATATACATATTCGAATATATGTATATATATGTATATATATAAATTATTAAAATATAGCACTACTATTACGAGAATATTTATTATTATCTTCTTAGTTTGTTGAATACGACAAGAGGATATTTAATTTAGTATCTCCCCATTTCAAAAGTAATATATATTGGGAGGGTCAAGGAAAAACTCGTTTTATTTTATATTAATAATTTTTGATCTGTGATTTTGAGGGGGGTGTGTTTAAAAGGGAAGATATTATTACTGTGAAGGGTTTAAACCATTATCAAATGCCCACACAGTTAGTGAGACACATTTGATATATTTATAGTCCATTGTGTTCGGTTTTATTCTATTATATTCTATTTTGGCTGGTTCCCTTCATTGATCATATACCAGTAATATCTGGATAGAACAACCAATATAAACTGTATTGAAACATTTCTATTTTTAAAAAATGTCATTTTGGCCATTTGCTCAAAATAATGCAGAATCTAAAATTAATAAGATTTTAGACAGTTATTTCAACCTGCTTCATAAGTTAGAAAGAACAAATCCAATAATTGCAAAATTTATTCATCAGGAATTCGATGAAAATGATAACATTGGCAATAATACTTCGTTTAATGTAAGCAATGAAAATATCCTTTCTTCAAATTCTTCATCATCGTCATCTGTCTCGACTATACCTTCCTCGAAAAATATCCAAAATAAAAATAAAATTAACAGTAGTAATAGGTTACAAGAAATCCAAATATTACAAAAATTTGATACCTCTGGCAATGACCTCCCAGCTTCGTTAAGATCTTTATCTTCAAATTCTATCTCTTCAACTTCTGTTTCTTCTTCTTCAAGAACGGATATCACTGAAGATGATATTACAAATGCTACAGTGCCTTTGGTAGATGATATCTCATCTTTAAATGTATCATTCATTGAAGGTTTATTGAACGAATCGGATTTGGTCAATGAATTGCCAAAGCAAGATACGAATCTATTGGACTTTATATGTTTGGGTTTCTTCATCGATGAAAAGACAAATGAAAAGATTCAAAATGTAGAATATTTAATCGATAATCTATTATTAGCCATTAAAAATTTACCAATAGCTACAGATTTCTCTAATGATACATTTGATACAAATAAAATTTCATCTGGTAATTATATCGAAGAAAATACAAGACCTCCAATTAACAAGACTGAAACTGAAGACTTAAATGATCCTGTTCCAGACTATTTACCCAATCCAACAGAAGAACCGTCATTTGCAAGTATCATTAGTTTTGAAAATACTCAAGAAGATTATTATTTGAAGAGAACAAGGGTTATTTCAGAAATTTTGTCAATGGATGCATGGTTACTTGTAGATACTTTAATGGAAAATGAGAGATATATGCATAAATTATGGTCTATTATAAATAGTGATAATTTCATAAGTGATTACTCAGCAGTAGTACCGGTATTTTTAAAGATACACCAAAATTTATTAACAATTAAAACTGAACAATATATAGCATACATTTCAAAGAAGGAAAATTTAGTTGATGAAATTCTAAATCATATTAACATTTCGATGTTAATGGAATTTTTCTTAAAGTGTATCTCTACTGACAAGGTAGAAAGTTCGACAGGGATTATAAATTTATTGAAAAAACAAAATCTAATCACAAAATGTTTGGATATATTAGAAGATGATAAATTATCAACAGACATTCATGCTAGTTCAGGTGATTTTCTTAAGGCATTAATTTCTGTATCAGCTAATACTCCGATTCATGATATGACAATAGGTCCAAATGTTCTATCAAGGGAATTAGCCTCTGCTGAAGTGGTATCGAGAATGATAGACATCATTGTAAATAAGAGAAGTTCAGCCTTGAATATCACTATCTCTATTGTTATTGAATTGATTAGGAAAAATAATTCTGATTATGATAAGATAAATCTCCTCACCGCAACATTAAAAGAGCATCCACCAAGTGACCGAGACCCTATATACCTAGGTTATATGCTGAGAGAATTTGCTATTGGATTGCCCAAAATTTTTGGTATTATTCTTGATATTGAAAATGACTCAAGAATTCCATTTTTAGAAAGTCAATTAGGTAAAACCTTCAAACCACTTGGGTTTGAAAGATTTAAAATTGCGGAACTGTTTGCAGAGCTATTACACTGTTCAAATATGGGGTTGATGAATTCTAAATCAGCTGAAAAGATTATTTCTATACGTAATAAAATTAGGGAGCAGCTTGCAAAAGGCGATGATTCATTACTAAAAGAGTACGAAGATAATAGTGAAATTTTTGAAGACAATGTTGATGAATCCTTCGAAATTCCATACATAAATGATGATCAAAATAAAAAATTGAGGGAAGATCCAACTATCGGTGATCTATTCAAAATTCAATTGCATGATACCAAAATAATACCAAAGGTGATGAAATTATTTTTGGATTATCCGTGGAATAACTTTTGGCATAATGTTGTTTTTGATATTATTCAACAAATTTTTAATGGTAGAATGGATTTTTCATATAATTCATTTCTGGTTTATTCGATGTTTAATTTAAAAGATTCTTGTAAATATATTCCTAATAATGACAGTTCAGACGATACTAATGATTACTTTGAAATAATTAAAGATTTTGTACTAAAGGGTTACCATGAGTCCTTTAGATTTTATGAAGAGAAAAACACCAATTTAGGTTATATGGGACATGTAGTCCTGATAGCTGAAGAGGTTGTGAAGTTTTCAAAACTATATAAGACAGACTTTATCTCTCCAGATATATTTCAAAAACTTCAGTCTTCGGATTGGTTGACTTATTGTGATGGTGTTCTTAATGAAACAAGGGTAATGTACTCTAAAATTTTAGGTGGTGGAAGTTTTGTCGAAGATGCAAATGGTAATATTGTTCCACAGTTGCAATATTCAAATGATGATTCTAATAATGATACTATTTCAGGTGATTTTATAGAAAATGATGATTCATCATTTAAACTGACATCATCAAATCCAAGAGACGGCTTAGAGTTAGTTAATGTTGAAGATTTGGATGAACAACTAATGTTATCGACAGAATCAGATTTACACAATAAACTGAAACAAATGTTAATAAGTGCTTCTCAAGATGAAGTCAATGCACGTAACGCCAAAAATGGTGTTATCATTCTAGGACCACCTGAATGATAATTGTATTTAAGCAAATGCTATACTATTTATTTCTATTTTTTGAAGACAGCGCTATAGAAATTATTAGTATTATATATGTTTTTGTTGTATATCTATATTTAATTAATGATTTATAATATTCGTAGATTTAAAATTTTATTTTTATCAAATTATAATTGATCAAGCAAGAACACCCTTGAATTTTGCAAAACATTAGTTTCTTAATATGTATAAATTGCGAATTGCAAGCTGCAAATATCTGAAGTATTATGTTCCTTTTTTCTTCTACCATTGTTTTTCTGATAATCCTCTTGAATTTTATTGATAGTGTCTGAAAATAATGAGGTGACAGAATTGTTTAATAGCAAAAAAATCTGAAACTTAATAATTAAAAATTGGAGTATAAATGTAAGGACTTAGATTACAGATTTACTACAATATTAATAATTTATTTCAATTTTTCTCTTTTAACTTTTTAAGATGAAGTTGGTTTATTACCAAAGAATTAAAATTACTAGACCTAAAGGTAAAAAGAAATCAGATTATTTGTTAATTCTAATGTCTCAAAGTATTAGATATCCATTTAGTTTACCAATTCATAATGATGAATTGAAGGGGTTAACACCAAGAGAAACTGTTAAAATTGCCCCTAAGAATTCTTTTTATAATAATCATTCCCCTCCTCCATATATCTCAGATTATCCAATTCAAAACACAGATTACTCTTTCAATGGCGCCAATGTTGACTTAGAAAACTCGTCAAGCAAGCTGGGAAATTTTTTGACTTCATCAACAGCAACTATTTCACTCAAATTATTATTAATTTTTAACTTATTAATTGATTGCTTCTTGTTGCTCATTTGGTGGCATTACTTTAATAGTACCGTTTCAGGTACTCAAGGATAAGACATATAGCCCATACTAAAATTAAATATTTACACCAAAAATATATATTTTATAACAATAATAATAATAATAATATATGTATCTGTTAATTGATGTCTTTATAACTTTATAACATTATATTCCTTTACTGACATTGCATCCAATCTGTTTATTGTCCTTTATCAAGAAGCACAAGCTTTAAAAAAAAAGCGATGAGCTTAATAGAAGCTCATTTTAATATATGGATGGTTACATAAAGAAGCTTGTAGAAAAGCCATCAAAGTTGCTATTGTCAGCCATCTAGTTAATCTGTCATTGAATTGAATATATCTTATTTTATAGAGGTGAAGCCATGCTCTTATCTCGTTCAAGATCAAAGTTTCAATCTTTGTTAAAAATTTCTGGTACCAGAAATATTACTTTAACAGCTGAACTCGAGAAAAGTCTGTTTGATGTACCTGATAGTGGAGTTGTTGTTATTGGAGGAGGACATGCTGGTTGTGAAGCTGCTGCTGGTGCTGCTAGATCAGGTGCGAAAACCACTTTGGTAACTCCCTTTTTGAATAAGATTGGTACTTGTTCATGTAACCCTTCGATGGGTGGAGTTGGCAAAGGTATTTTATTGAGAGAAGTTGATGCATTGGATGGCGTGGCAGCTAGAATTACTGATAAAGCTGGTATTCAGTTTAAGATGTTGAATAGAAGTCGTGGGGCTGCCGTCTGGGGTCCCCGTGCCCAACTAGACAGATCACTCTACTTGCTAGAGATGCAAAAAGAGTTATTCAATTATCCTAATTTGAATCTAAAAGAAGCAAAAGTCAAAGATATAATAATTGATTCTAGACAAAAGGGTGATGAAAAATATGGTTCAATTAAAGGTTTAATTTTGGAAGATGGTTCCTTATTGAAAACTTCAAAAGTAGTCATAACAACTGGGACATTTTTGGGTGGTGAGATACACATTGGTTTGAAGAGTTTCCCTGCCGGTAGAATTGGAGAAGAGCCAACATTTGGAATTAGTTCTACTTTAAATGATGCAGGATTTAAACTGGGGAGATTGAAGACAGGTACTCCAGCAAGACTAGAAAAATCTAGTATAGATTTTACAAATTTAGAGAAACAATATGGGGATGAGGTACCACATCCAATGTCATTTATGAACAATGAAGTTTCTATTAAAGATCAAATTTTATGTTATGGTACTCGTACTACTACAGAATTACATGAATATATAAGAACAAATTTGCACCAAGCATTGCATATTAGGGAAACTGTCAAAGGTCCCCGTTATTGTCCATCGATAGAAGCCAAAATACTTAGGTTCCCTGATAAAGAATCTCATAAGATTTGGTTAGAACCTGAAGGAATTGATTCCAATATAGTATATCCGAATGGAATATCCAATTCTATGCCTGAAGATGTTCAGGAAACAATGCTGAGAATGGTACCTGGACTTGAAAATGTGAAGATCTTACAACCAGCATACGGTGTGGAATACGATTATGTTGATCCTCGTCAATTAAAAAGCTCTTTGGAGACAAAACTAATAGATGGGTTGTTTTTGGCAGGTCAAATAAATGGTACAACAGGATATGAAGAAGCTTGTGCCCAAGGTACTGTTGCTGGTATTAATGCAGGGTTGTCGAGCTTAGGGAAACCACCATTGAAGTTATTAAGATCGAATTCATATATAGGAGTTCTCATTGACGACTTGATTACCAAAGGTATTGATGAGCCTTATAGAATGTTTACATCCAGGTCCGAATTCAGAATCACAGTAAGGGCAGATAATGCCGATTTAAGGTTAACAGAATTAGGGTACAAAAGTGGAGTAATTAGCGATAAAAGATGGTCGCAATTTTCTAAAGATAGAGATCTATTTGAAGATACCATATATAAATTAAAAAATTACCAAAGAAGTTTCACGAAATGGCGTAGTATGGATCCCTCGTTACCAGATACCCCTAATTCGATATCTGGATGGGATTTATTAAGGTATCAAACTGTAACCATTGAGACGTTACTGAAAAATATGGATGCCATGATAAACATGGATGATATTCCGAATCATGTTTTATTAAAAATCGAAGTGCAAGGAAAATACGAGCCATATATGCATAAACAACGTCAATACATAAAAGCATTCCAAGCAGATGAAGATATGCTATTACCAAAAAATTTTGATTATTCTTTAGTACCAAGTTTATCGTCAGAGAGTAAAGCACTATTAAATTTAATTCAACCAGAAACGATCGGTCAAGCAAGAAGAATTCAGGGTATTACGGCTGCATCGCTATTTGAATTATACCGATTGGTAAGACGTAATTTGAAAACTCATCAAATATAGTCTCAATCACCAGTCAACCAGCCAACCAGTCAACCAATCAGATAAGTTGTGTTTCAATTTCCATATTAGTAATAAACTCATCCATAAAAGTTACTCGATGAGTATTAGAAATCTGGAGAGGCAAGGAGACATCGAAAAGAAGAGAGAACGAGAAAGACCTGAAGGACCCTTTGTTCGAAATATATACTCTTAAGAAGATATTTTTGTTGACGTTGATAATTGCCTAACACTTCCATTTCGGATAGTTTTTTCATTCTCTCTGTGCTTAATTGAGTGAGTTCCTCTATGAATCCCAGCAAGAGAGTCTATCCAAGTGATGAGTGAAAAATTTCTTCTATGGTCAATTGCCAGCTTGATTGATAGTTATAAAGAAAATTCAAGACGAAACAAGAATCATCGTCGTTGTTGTTTGTTTAGTGCTTTGAACTTAGACTGACAAGCAAACTGAACTCAAACATTCTACACCCACATTGGCGTAGTAAACCAGAGCAAAGCCAGACCAACACAACCATTATTGTCTCGTCATCATCGTTCAACTGGTTTCGAACTGTCCTTTTCTTCCTGTTCTCTTGTTCGAAGACATCACGTGGCGCTAGGAGATATCGAAATATTTCAGTCAAAAAAAGTAAAAACCCATCGAAATTCAGATATGGAAATAATGAAACTTTCGTTAAGGTATGTGAATAAAGCAAAGATATGATTTAAGAGGTGGATTGATTACATTATATACAAGACATCTATATCTGTCCAAGGAGGTTCGATTGTATTTTTGTATTGTTGGGAGAGGTTAAAAAGTTTTGGGTCTAAAAGATTAGATTACGATTGAGAGCAAGGCCAGAAATAGTAAAATAGAATATATATATTTAGAATAGCCATTCTAAAAAAGTTAGGTTGAGATGAATGGTGAACAAGAGAGTGACTTCCATCCTCTTGAGACACTTATACGTTACTCTACTGATGATTTAGATATACGAGGGGCTAATAACGGCTTATCAAAGGTTAATGGAGAAGATATAATTGAAAGGGTAATTATTGAAGAACAAGATCCAGCAGAATTGTATCTTTATGATCAACCACATTCCACTAGTGTAAAACAATATAGTAATGTATTAGCAGATCATGCTAAGAAATATGGAAATTTGAAAATAGAAGATAATAATTATAAAATTGGTGAATCTATGGATAGAAAAGTTGCATCCTCCACAGAGGATACCGATTTATTGAAAGACACTACTACTGATGACCAAGCATTTGGTGAGCTCTTACAAAAACAAACTCAATCGTTAACTGCAAGAGAAGAATCTGCAGACATTTCAAACACAAAATTAGACTTAAAAGAAGGATCGTATTTTGAAACCAGTTTGGATTCTGGATTTGGTATGACCAATAGTGATAATGCTACCGCCACCACCAGCACCACCGCAACAACAACAACAACAACAACAACAACAACAACTGCAACTGCAGTAACAGAAAGCACAACTACTAGTAATAACAGCAATATAGTTTCTAGTATCACTAATGGTAACCAAGGAGAGGAATCAACAGAACAGCCCTTCTATGTAAATGCAAAGCAGTATTATAGAATACTGAAAAGACGATATGCTAGAGCAAAATTGGAAGAAAATCTGAAAATATCAAGAGAAAGAAAACCTTATCTGCATGAATCAAGACATAAACATGCAATGAGAAGGCCTAGGGGTCAAGGTGGTAGGTTCCTTACAGCTAGTGAAATTGCTGCAATGAAGGAAAAGGAAAAAGCTAATGGAACCTCTACTGACACTGTAGAATCATCATCTACTTGAAGCCAGTAGCAGATTATCACATCTATACATGTATGATAAATATCGTGACTGGTTTCTACCACCGAGTATTTGAAGTTTCAATTACAAATTTTATTGTAATCAACTCTGGAACAATAAAATCTCTTTTGGAAAATTCTCCAGAATAGTTTCAAAGGTGGAATTAATTAAAATGAGTTTCCTCACCCCACCATACAACTCTAAAAAAAGATCAACCCATATTATTTATATTCTTTCACTGTAATAACGACAACTGTGATTAAAACTCGAACAACGATATTTGACCTGTACTGGTGACTGTTATGCCATAAAATGAAAATGATAAGATATAACATTCAAAGGCATTTACTGATTCAAGGTCATGGAAACGTTTAAAATGTTCCATTTATGTTTAATTTGGAACATTGATTTTTTACTATTATTTATTCTTATTACGCTCATTTGTAGTTCTCTACAGTCGATTGACTACACTGCATTTTGAGATTACAACTTTTACTGCTGTCAGTATTCCCTTATTTTGTACATAGTTATATATTATTAAATTATTTATTTAATGAATCAGTTAAGTAGGAATAAACTCTGATAAATAGTTCAATCGATACTCATCCCAATGATTAATTGAATGTATTATTATTAAGTTCAAATTGGCTAAATTGTATATGTGGTCAGTTTGGTTTGAGTTCTTCAGTAAACAGACAACATCGGAATTTATCATATCAGAAATATCAAAGTGAAAAATTATCGTAACAAGAGAAGGCTAAGTTAACGTATAGGGGTAAAATAGGAAATAATATAAGTAGACTTGAATTACAATAGGTTGATAAAATCATTGATTTGTCAAGATAAGTAGTATATAATTGTGTATACTTAGCTGTTGTCTATTTGGTTAACGGTCAACTAAGAGTTTTTGGTAATTATAACATGTCAACCGAAGGTGCCTCCTTAAGTGAACAATTACTTGACTTATCTAGACGAAATAATGTTGATTTGTTAGATACTATATTAGAAACATTGGAAAATGATCCTGAAAAGATTGCTGGTTTAATCAATACTTCAAAGGATCCATTTGGTAATACAGCTTTGCATTTATGTTGTAAATATGGATCATGGGAAGTATTGGATAAAATTTTAGATCAAGAAGGTGATATAGAGATAGATCCAAAAAATACTACAGATGGTGATACTCCATTACATGTTACAGTTAGATATTCTATGGAAGAACCTGAACATGGTACTTTTATTGCTTCTAATTTAATTGAAGTCGGTTCAGATCCTAGAATTAAAAATAATTCAAATCAAAAACCAATTGATTTAATTCATGGTGATGAGTTAGATGATTTAATTGATTTATTACAAGGTGCAGAGATTGCTGCTGATAGTCGTGGGACTCGTGATGAAGAATTTGAAGGTGAAGTAGTAGAAGAAGAAGAAGCAGATGATAATGATGATGGTGATAATGGTGATGACGGTGTTAAAGATACAAAAAAATAAAATGCCCTTTAAAGCAATGACAATATTACTATTTTATAAATATTTAAAGCTATAATATATATGTGTGTGCCTTATAAGCATATTTACATTAACATTGATATAAATTTAAATTGAAATTTTATTATATGTATACTTTCATATAATTATATATTTATTACGAAAATGACCAGTCAACTTTATAACACATGAAATTACATAAATTTACATTAAACAGGAATTTAATCTATATACTTAGTTCTATATCAATACTGCTGATAATACTTTCTAATCCACCTAAGCGTCTAAACTTGGCTAATAGTAGCTCCCTTTCCTTTTTTGCAATTGCCTCCCTATCTTCTTCCAATTTCTTTTGTTGAGCCAATTCCTTAGCCTTTTCATTTTCTTCTTTTTGAACTTCTTGATAATATATCTTGGTTCTAGTCTTCAATCTACTGAATGGATCAGCCTTAGAATCAAAATTGATATCCTCTTCTTTAACATGCTCGACATTTTTCGCTTTGTCCATATTAACTTTTCTATTCTTTGAAGTCAATGCACCCAACTTTCTAGCACCAGCTTGATCATTCTCATGATGTTTTTCATATGTAGAAAGACGTTTCTCTAGATTTCTCAATTGGGTAGAATATTTGGCAATGTCTCTTTCGTTATTATTTTCCTTTGCGTACTGCAGTTTACCTCTTAAAACTGTTTTTTCTAAGACGGCATTAGTACCAGATAATTTCTTATTGAAAACCATTCTATTACGAACAATCTCATCTGTTAATTTATCTGTCATTGGTTCCGAGACAAATTCATTGATTTCCTTTAATTTTTGTGTTAGAGAATAAACCGAAGGTTTAGAAGCATTTGAAGCATCCAGGGATCTTTGATAACGGTCAAATTCTTCTATCGTTATTGGACCGTCGCTAAAGAAATTCATTTGAAATACTTTTCTATCTTTACCTTGAGTGACACCAAAATATTGATTGGTGAAAAATTTGCCCATATTATATGGTTTTTGTAAGAAGACCTTTTCTATCTTAACCATACGATATGCAGTTTGATTTGTACGTCTGTCAACACCAACGTTGACTCTACCATAACAACCTTTAACAATTTCATTAAAATCAGGATGGAAACAATATCTGGCTACAAAAGAACGGCCAATTTTTATCTTATTAAAGTCATCCACCTGGCTCTCTCTGTTTGTGCTTTCTTCCGCCCATTTCACATCTTCTTCCTCTTCTTCTTCCCTATAACGAGGCTTTCTGCTATATGGATCGTATTCTTCTTCGTCATCTTCCTCATACTCACTACCATCATATTTGTAACCTGTATCATAGTCATCTTCATCTTCTTCTTCTTCATACTCACCTTCAGATTCACTATATTGACGATTTTTATTCTTTTCTCTTTGTCTCTTCAACTGTGACAGCTTCGAAGCCTTCACGTCGGAGTGACCAGTGGCTTGTGTTGATCTAGTAGAGGTTCTTGTCTTTTTACCTTCTTGTGCTGAAGTGTTATTCCTCTGCTGTCTCTTTAAGTTTCTTTGACGCTCTCTAAACAACTTTCTATCTTGATACTTTTGCATTAACTGAGATCTTTCAAACAGTAAAGTTTCACGCTCCATTTCAGGTAGGGACTCCAAATATGTACGATCATCTTCATCCTTAAATTTTACCTTCTAATGGGAATGGATTCTCTTCCTCTTCTTCTTCGCCTTCGTCTTCATCTTCATTGTCATATACAACACCTGCGCCTGTTGGACTATAGTCGTCCTCATCGTCCTCTTCATCGGCATCTACTTCAATCCTACGTCTCTTTGATCTTGAACTAGAACTTTTGCCCCTCTTATTCGTTGAGCTAAACACAACATCTTCATCATCTTCTTCTTCTTCACCAGCACCGGCTAAAGCCAATAAATCTTCATCAATATCAGACATTTTCTGCTCTACCAAACACTAAAACCTGAGCCCAAAAAAGGTTCCACAACTAAACTGGTATAAACAATAGAATGCACTCAAAAAGTACCTCGATAGTCTACTTTTATCCTGCTAAACTTGGATAATTGTTGGTTTTAGTTTCTTTAAATTATACTACTCTTCTTTAAATAAATCCAAAAAGTTTCTGAAATTTCCAAATTTTTCATTGAATCCGATACTCGTATCTAATGACAGGAATAGTTCATCTTGTCTTCCACGTGACCAGGCAGGGTAACACTGGTGTGACAGCGGTTATGAAGAGGATTTACGATAAATAAATAAATATATAACGAGAATTGGAGACATATAAAAGGGTAACGGGTTAATTGCATAAGAGAGGTTTACCTGTTTTTTCGTTATGGATATTATTTTTATGTCTGATTAATTCCATCTCGAGAAGAAGAACAAGACTGCAGTGCTAAAGAGAAAGTATTATTATCTATATATGGATATGGATATGGATATGGATATATATATTTCTTGCTTGTTGTTGTTGTTATTATTGGTTAGCAAACGTATGCCACACTATTATCTTTAGAGGTATCCTTCTAATTTATGCCCTAGGTGCAGATCCTAAATCAGGAAGACACAGCAGCCGCTAATGCTATCATTCATATTAAGACAAGTCTTTTGGTACCCTACGTTACCCGGTTAAACAACCCACGTGATCCCGTATTTTCCTCAAAATCGAATCATAAAAAGAAGTTACGTACATAATGACACCGATTTTTCCAAGCTTTGCCAAAAAATAAAAATCATTCCTTCAAGGTTATTCAAGTTTCAGGTTATATTTAAGAACTTAATCCTTTAAAAGCTGTTATAACAATTTGTATTAAATACATGGAAATATGGGTAGGATCAGTGAACTAATGGACCTAGAGTGTTGTTTAGTTTGCTTTACTGTTTAAGCAATTGGAGGTTTGCGCTTGCTTTTTTATCTTCTTCTTCTTTTTTTTTTTCATTTTACCTTAAAATCAGCATTTCATTTGCCAACCTTTCTCTTGCCTTTTGATTCATCCAGGCTATTGGGTTAGGTTCAAAAGTAGGTATCTCAAAGAGTTAGTTGATACAAGATTGTATAAACGAGGGGTTTAGGGGTATTTCGTTTGGTTGCTTTTTTAGAGATGAGTTATAATTCATCCAATAATGCGAGCGGTGCTCACTTGGCAACTTCTAGCATGTCGAAAAGATCACCTTCGATCTTGGTGACAGATTCCCGTTCAAATAAAAACAGATTGAGTGCACCTTTTGCAAGACATGCCGCTGGTGCAAGGAGTAGAGAGTCTCTTTCTAGTGTTCCGTCAAATTCAATAGGTTCATCTTCCTATGTCCCGTATTTAAATTCAAATAAAAATCAGGTACGATCTGTGAATAGAGCTGCTTCTCCACAATTTGGGAGATTTAGTGATATTTCAATAGATAATATATTGTCAGACTCCTCAGATGTTCCCTCCGGGAGAAGAGAAGAGCGTAGATCAAGCTCGTCATGGGATAGGTTTTCAATCTATGATAAATTAAGAACTTCGAATTATGGGAAAGGTTTAAGTCATATACCTCCAAGAACTTCCAAGACATCGCATAAATTGGTACTGATCCCTGAAAATTCAGAAATTCCCAAGGATTATATGCCTAATAATTTCTTAAGAAATCGTTCTTCTTCTTATAAAAACTTACAAAGTGAACAGTTTCAACAGCATGATAGGGATGAAATTTTACCACGTATCACTGCCTATAATGTTGCAGAAGGTTTTAATTTGGATTTAATGTCTAAATTTTTAAAGTCGACACATGAAGTTTCTCCAAGACAATACGCAGAATGTCTTTACGTTGCATATACACTTCCTTTACTTCCGGGAAAAGATGGATACAGAATTAAATCAAATATTTCAAAAAAAGTAGTTGGTGGTAAGACTCTTATCGATGAATTAATAGATACCAGTGAGCAAAGAGATCATCATTATGAATATTACTCTGGTGTTGAGATTTTAGAAGACGCAAATAATAACTATGAATTAAACGCAACAACACCGTCACAAGAACCAGAAGTCACCGTAATACCAGATCATTTACCAAATCCAACTAATAATTCAGATAGTTTTGATCCCAGCGAACCACAATTTTTTGCAGAAGAAACTCCTATAGAACAAAAATTACGTGAAAGGAAAGAACAGATAAAAATGAACTCTGACAGTAAACCAATGTCTTTAATTAGAGATGAGGATCAACATGCAGAAATATTTATTTTCCATTACGGTGTAATTGTATTCTGGAATTTTACTGAGCAACAAGAAAAAAACATTTTAGGTGATATTGCATTTTCAGAGTATAAAAACTTGGTAATAAGAGCATTGGATGAACAGGATATAGAAACTGAACAATTTCATTTTGAATATGATAAAGAAAATGAAAGGCCTCGAATTTTCAATGATATAATTACGCTAAGATCAGGCGATCACATAATAGAATTAACCTTGTCACATGCAATAGCACAATCTTCAAAGCTTTCAAGATTTGAATCAAGAGTAACGCCTATTTTATCGTCAATTACAAAACTACCTAGAAGACTAGCCCTTTATGGTACACTGGGTTTAAAAAGAGAACAACTATTGAAGCGTTCTGGTAAATTGTTTAAATTAAGAGTTGATGTAAATTTATCTTCTAGTGTTCTCGATACTCCTGAATTTTTCTGGTCATTTGAACCTAGTTTGCATCCATTATATGTCGCTATGAGGGAATATCTTGAAATCGACCAACGAGTACAGGTCTTGAATGATCGTTGTAAAGTGTTTTTGGAATTTTTTGATATATGTGTCGATTCAGTTGCTGAGCGTAATATGGCACGCGTTACTTGGTGGTTCATTATGATGATTATTGTTAGCGTTCTCTTTTCTCTGGCAGAAATTCTCATCAGATATAATATTATTCATAACGGTTAAATAATTATAAATTGGGTACTTCTTTTATCATATCATTACTATTTAGGATATAAGGAATAAAATAATATATAAATACATTATAAGGCTTTATTTAAAATTTATTTCTTAGCACCATACTTGTTAACAGATTTACCATCTGGAATTGTGAAGAAAACGTAAGGCTTACCATCTGCAGCCAAAGAATCTAATCTGTAATAACCCTTTCTTTCGAATTGAATGATGTCACCAACCTTCATGTCTTTAACATTCAAGTCAGCGATAGCAGAAGTGTGGAATTCAGTTTCAGGAGTTAAGAAATCTTCGAAACTTTCATCTTCTTCTAATTTATCTTTGCTGATTAAATGGTCGAAGTCGACTAAATCAACTTTAACAACATCTTCTGTATCAGCTAACCAAGTGACCTTATGTTTAGTCTTCTTGAAGTCACCTTCCAAATGCAATTTGGCGTTCAATGAACCATCGGCATTCTTCTTGGTGATGATAGCATTACCCCAGTTCATTAAAGTAATTTCTTCACCATCTTCGATAGAATCAGCATCTTCTCTGTCAATAACAATATCTTTGTAGAAAACGACCTTCTTTTCGCCGACAACTGGGTTCTTTGGATGTTTTGGTTTCATTTCGACCTTTGCAGATTGTGGGGCGTCTTCACCTTCTAAATGGATCTTAACTGGATCAACAACAGCGGTCAATCTTGGACAAACAGGATCGATAACCTTCTTGTTGAAAGACCAGATCAAGTTCCATTCTAAGTTAATAACATTTCTAGAAGGACCTTGAGATAAGACGAAGTTTCTCAAACCTTCAACAGTCATACCTCTTCTTCTAACACCTCTAACAGTTGGGAATCTTGGATCCTCCCAGTTAGAAACTAAGTTCTTGTCAACCATCCATTGCAACTTTCTCTTGGATAACAAGGTTCTGACAAAGTTAACACGGGCAAAATCCCAAATGTGAACCTTTCTTAACTTCAAAGCATTTAACATCCATTCATATTGGGCGTTACGGTCTCTATATTCGATAGTACGTAAAGCATGGGTAACACCTTCTAAAGCATCAACAATTGGAACACAGAAATCGTAAGTTGGGTACATTTTCCATTGGGAACCAGTTCTATGGTGAGGAGTCAAGTTACATCTGAAAATGACTGGATCTCTTAAAGTTTTGTTCAATGCTTCATAATCGATCTTGGCACGGACACAATTCTTCAAACCTTCTTCAGTACCATTCTTCATTTCTTCGGTGAAAATTTTCAAGTTTTCTTCAACAGAACGATCTCTTCTAACAGAAGCAATACCATTCATACGTTCATCTCTCATCTTTTCAGTTGGGGTATCATCACAGTAAGCCTTGCCATCTTTAATCAATTGAACACAGTAGTCGTACATTTCTTGGAAGTAATCAGAAGAGTGAGTAATTCTGTCACCTTTAATACCCAATAATTCTAAATCTTCTAAGATAGAATCTTGGAATTCGACGTTTTCCTTGGATGGATTGGTATCATCGAATCTGATAATTAATTTACCTTTGTAAGCTTGAGCGAAATATTGGTTTAACAAAGCAGCTTTGGCGTGACCAATGTGTAAGTATCCAGATGGTTCTGGTGGGAAACGGGTAACAACTTCACCCATTTTAGCATCTGGTAAGTCGATTTCAAAATTAGCCTTATGGGTTTCCTTCTTTTTACCAGCAGTAGAAGCTTTCTTTAATTCTTGTAAAGACTTAGTCAAAAATTCATGGACACCACCAAACAAAGTGTTTTCTTCCAACAAAGTATACCAACGGGAAACATTGACATTAACTTTGTTTTTAATGATAGAACCGACCATACCATTGGATCTTAGAGCACCCCAACAGGCGATGTCTGCAACGGTAAAGTTTAGGCCACCATTAATATATGTTCTCAAATTTAAATGAGCATCTAATTTTTCTAAAGATTTATTCAATTGTTGGAAGTTCTTAACAACTAATTCTTCAGAAGCAATTTTAATCCATTCAGTAGAGTTAGCAGCACCTTCTGGGAATACATCGGAGTTTGCTGTAACAATTTTAGATAAAACATCGACGGAATCGCCATTTAAAGTAGCTGGAGAAGCCTTTTTGTCTTCAACAAATTCGATTTTAATGGAATCTGGTTTTGATGAATTGACAATACGAGCAGCAATCAATTCAGCATAGGCAACAACAGGAGCCTTACCACCAATAACCAAAGTAGCAGACATCTTGAAATAAAACTTTACTCAATGTTAGTTATCTATTTCTTTGTATTACTTAATTAAAAAGATTAATCAAAAATAGCAAAATAAAATCAAGGAAAAAACTCAATTAATAAACATCAAGAAGTTAGTAAGATCAATTTGTAATTTGATTAATATATCTTTTATCTAAACTTGTTCTTATTCATCATCTCTTGTATTGTTGGTCTAAAAGTGAAAAATTTCGAAAATAAAAAGAAATGTGAAAATTCCTAAAACAAAATATCATGTGATCCGGGTAAATCAGACACAAAGGCGTTGATCATTGCCGCCTAGTAAAAGGATGTTTTATCATTATTTACAAATTAAATACTAAAATGTATATCAACAGCACTTATTCTATACAATTAAAGATATACATTAGAGTTTGAGTTTAAGAGTATAACGAGATATTGTATTATACAGGTAGTTTATTTTTTATCTATCGAAGATAGTTTCTATATTTCGGTGAAGGGAGGGGAAAGGAATGGAATTGCAGAGTGACACTGACAATTGAATGATTTTTATATAATAATAGTTTGCTTACTTTTGCATGTACTTTACCATTATATCTGGTGATGATTGTGTTTTATATTTGGATAAGTAATAAACAAAAAGGGAAATGATAAAGAAAAAAATAATAGAAACATGATTCTTTATGCATCATCACTTTTTTAGACAATAACGTATTCTTCGGATACCAATGAAGTTATACTGTCATATGGTAAATGACCAGATTCATCACTTGAGCTTATAACATCCGCAACGCTAATGCCAACAATACTTTGTACATTGCTACTTGTATGTTTGAAAGATACTGCAATTGGGAATAATGCATCTTCATAACCACAATCGATAGAAAAGCTGAATACACCAGAACTTTCAGGAGTAACAGAGTCAAGCTTGATTAAAACACCTTCTTCATCAGTTCCGATGATAGTGGCATTTACTTCGTTATTATCATCGTTTATAAATGCGTTATTTGTTGCTACTGGAATCTTGAAAATGACATCTTCTAATTCCTTGTCGTTATAATCGCTGTTTAATTCAAATTCAACAGTGACCTCAAAAACACCTTCGGAATCATCTGATGGAGATACCCAGGTAGAAACTTCCAATGGGAGTAAAGATTTATCATCTGTTGAACCAGTTTTACGCCATCTTAGAATGCCTAAACTTTGGTCATTAGATGGGAAAGCTTTATCGCTAGATCTTAATCCCAAAGTCTTTGAAGACAAAAATAATTTTTTGTCAATGTTTGGGTGAGTTTTAAATTGTAGAGATTTGTCTGATACATTAACAGAATCAGATAAGGTGACTTTAGAGTGAGCAAGAGATTCATCATTGATACGTAATTCCATAACACCCTTTAATTCTGTTGATCTGACAGCACCATCTCTAGATATTTCTGCGTTGATGGTTTCCTTAATAGAAATTAAAATACCATTATTTTCAGGTTTTATTTCTTCTGGCTCTGAACGTGAAGGACGTTCGACATTGGATCTCGGGAATGACTGCAATCCAGCTCCTCTAGGATTTGATTGTAATTTCATACCACCATTACCACGATGTATTTGAGCATATTTAGATTCAGCATTCAAACCAGTAGTTTGTTGAGAGTTTAGGTATGATTTTTGAGCTGCTACTGAGGCTTGGCTATAATAACTGTTGTATGCATTTGCCATATTTGGATCATTACTTCCCATAAATTTGTGTCCTGCCATTTCGCCTTCATACGATGGTATACCAAGTTTTCTTTCTTGTTCCCTTCTTGCAATCTCTTTGGCACGACGTTTTCTTTCGGCATTAGCTTCTGCTTCTTTGTTTTGTTCAATAATTTCTTGAATTCTTTCTTCATGAGATTCCATAGCCAAATATGTATTGACTTGAGAAACTGTTAAGTTTTCTTTGTTACCCATAACTATGATTTCATCAAATGAACTCAAAATTTCGAAAGCATTGATAAATATCTCTTCTTCATCAAAACTGTTCAAATAATAATTAACACTTTGAGAAAATAGGTTCAAAGTAGATAAATCTTGAATAATATTGGATTGACGGTTGGTAACTAAAATCAAGTAATAGTCATCAAATGGTCTGTATACATATCTAACATGTTCATCTTCAACATAAGTATGATCAGAAGAGGATTTAGAAACCAAACCTTGGAAATTGGATAAAAGTTCAATGACACGTTCTTTGGTTAGTTCTTTGAACTGTCTTGACAACAGTGGTTTACCACCACGAGTCATAATTGCAGCTGATAAAACAGTCATTGTGGTTATATGATAGATTCAATTGATGGTGATGATGTTTTGTTTTGATTTTGGTCAATTGAAATAACAATCACTTCTTGAATAGTTCTTTTAAGCTTGCAATTTTTAAGTGATAAATAAAGTAGTATTTTCCATCGATCTATCTCTGTTTTTTTTTTTGAAACAGAGCGTTTACGTTTACTACCAGGATTCTTAATAGAATATATTAGTATGTCGTGTAAAATTATTTACTTCAACAATCGATTTTAAGAAGTTGTCATTGTTACCACTCTAGTGTCAGCAACGTTTTGATTCTTGCTAGTTGCTGTTTTGTCAAGATATTTTGGTTCCTATTATCACAATTCAGAGTTAATCCTTTCAAAAAATCAAATAAGGTAAATTTTTTTAAGATATCTTTGACTAAGAAAATATTGAAATTTAATGATTGTAATATTTGTTCCTCAGAACTATTGCAATCTAACTCATTGTCATTATACTTTGATGAATATCTGGATATCAATAAAGATATTTTTCTTGCGATTTCCTCAATATTTGAAGGTATAATATAAGTATAAAATTGATAGTTTTTCAAATATAGATGAAGTTTCCAAAAAATATCCTTATCAGTGCTTTCAATAATGCTTGAGTATTCGACTAATACTAATACCCTCTTAAATTCAGTAGTTAGATCCATTAATTTCTTTTGGTAAAATAAATAACCATTCTTGGAAATTTGGAAAAAATTATCTAGTTTGATTCTAACAAGACAAGTTGTTGCATTTAAAATGAAGTCACAATCATAGCTCAATTCTTTTTCCAGAATTTTAATTTGACTTTTGTTTTCAAGGATATTTTTTATCTTATGATTTTCCCTTATTTTTTTACCATTTAATATAACTGTCTTTCCGGCTATCTCTTTACAATTAAATTTTATCTTCAAGCCAAATTTTGGTAACTGATTTGATTCAGTAATTGTTTGATCAGAAACTATTTGTCTATCTGAGAGTACAGTATCTCTGGGTATATTTGTAATAATTCCTTGGTTTATAAAACTTAAAATTGAACCAGTTTTGTCTTCTGAATCTTTTAGATTTCTGTCGTTCAGATTTTTCTTTTTTCGCTTAATCTCTAAAATCGATTTTAACTCTTCATCTATATAAGATCTTTTGTGTGGTATCATTGATGTATTTATTTGTAAAGTCGATTCTGATATTTCTTTTTCTACATTTATGGAAGAAGATTCATCATTTTTTGTTAGTGGATCTTGAAAACTATTTTCTATTTTGTTGTTTAGTACTAAGTTTAATGAACCAAAAGTACCATTTTCAATATCAATCAAATCAATTATATTGTATAAGATTTTCTTAAAATTCAATTCTGGTTTTTTAATCGTATATTCATTCTGTTTGGTCAATTTTTCATTCAGCAATATCTTTGTAGTTAAATTTTTAGATATATAAGATTTTATTGGATTCCATTCCAATTTTTTGGTTTCATTTTTATCTAATTTCCAATATACTTTGAACCTTTTCGAATTATATGATTTGAAATTTTCTATTACGTCTTCAGTTATTATTTCATTGGGGGTCTTTAATTTCAGAAATTCAATCTCATTATAATCCTCATCAAAAACTTTTGACCATAAATTAATATCCCAAGAAGTATTTATTTCTGATTGGTTTTCATAATTCCAATTAATAAATTCTCTTTTTGTTTTCTCTGGTATATTTTGACTTGAAATACCATTCATATTAACTTCAATTAAAAAGTTATTAAGAAACAATATAGTTCTGTAGGGTTTAAATTCCAAAAACGGTAAGATTTCTGAAGAATAATGTTGATTGAAGTTTAATTCACATTGAATGATTTTTTCATTCTCTAGCTTTTCGAAATTCTTATTTAAATCATTTGGCATTAGTTCATCAAGGCTTGACTTCGGAGAATAAACCAGTAGCTCTTTTGTTAAATAACAAAAATTACACGTTTCAATAATATATGAATTGAATTCAGAATTTATTTTTATTAATGGATTTGGGAATTCCATGATGTCTTCATTTTCTAATTTCAAGCCAGAAATCCAACTTAGTAAAACTTTTGTTTCTTTATCAATTAATAATTTCTCCCTTTTATTATATGACGCAAAATCGAAATTTCCAATTCTATCGGGATTCCATTTCTCCGTTAGTCTTCCATTATTATTTGTATTTAAACCATTTAAACTTATTATCTCTATATTAACGTTAATTTTTTCTATTTGATAACAAGGGATACCATGTAGTCCTTTAAACTTTAAAATTTCAAAATCCTTTGAACAACATTCTAGTAGTCTTCGTCTAGTCCTCTTGTCCACTTTCAAATGTTCTTTGAACTTATTCTCAATACGGACAATCTCATCAAATGTAGTATGATATTCACAACTCCAATTACTGAAGTCTGTCATTGCAAAATGCACGCCCAAACATCTATACCTATGCAGTGTTATGGATGCTATCTACAATTTTCTAGTCATTAGCGTCTCATCTCTCTGACCATCAGTCAGATATAAATAAGTGGGGGGAAGAAAAGAAATTGTTTGAAGTGTAAACCTCCCCCTTTTTATACCTTTTGGAAATTTAAGCCAAACATTTGTTTTTGTGTCATTAAGGCCCCCTTCTTAACTTTTTTATTTTTTATTTTAGCCGCCCGGCCACAAAAACAACTCAAATATAGAACTTGAGTTGAGCTATATAAAGAGACATACATTTTCAATAAATAAAGCGTCTATTATTACTTTTCTCTTTGAATATGACCAATTGATGATTGATCTAATGTTTGCAATCCAGATTGGGTTCTCAAAGTTATTGTTGTGAGTGTATAATAGTTCGGTAGTTATATTAATTGTACTAGTAGTGTTTCGCAAACGAAGGAATTCAAGCATCAGAAGCATCAGGAAGGGAAAAAAGAAAAATAAGGAATGTTTAATCATTTATTTTGACGGCTTGCCTTTTAGGAATAATGTTGAGGTTCTTAGATTTCCTTTTTCCAATTCCAGTATGTTTTAGGTTGTTTTAGATTTCTTTCCAAGATCTTGATAACTGTAATGGTTAAAACTACGGTGTGAAAAAAAAAAATTGAAATTATACTGGTATTTTTTGAATAAAATCATCAGTCATTGATTAACCCTTTGAGTTTAATTTAGTTGCTTAATGTTCATTGATATATCAGGTCAATTAATCGATGCCCATAAATCTGATATAACTGTTCCTAAACTATGGTCTAGAGTAAATTTTACGATGAACCACGTGATATGCATTTTCGGTAATTCCAAATTCTAATCGGGATGAAAGAAAAAAAAAAGTGAAAACCCCGTTCGGTTTTTATTGTACGATCAACAATTTCCAGTTCAATTAAATTTATCGTATTGCCATAAATTGAGAAACTGAAAAAATGAGATAAATGTGTATATTGATTGTTAGTCATAATCGATCTTTTAAATTAAGATTGTATTTGGATACTTACTTATAACTTGGGTGTTGCAATCAATTTGAAGATTTGTAGAATTGGTGTTTTCTTCTCCTTTATCTGAACTTTCCCAGTCTTCCTTTTTTAAATTATAACTTTTATTGCATATTCTAGACTGTGGAAACATTGCATATTCTAGACTGTGGAAACATTGCATATTCTATTTTGATAATTGAATTTCAGATTAATATTTATACCACTACAATAGGATACCCGTATTTTGTTTGATTCCAGATTTTTATCTTCTTATTAGTTCTGATTTCCTCTAAAAAAATTGATTATAACAATTCATAGCCATAATTATACTACTATAGAGATATGTCTGCGATATTGGACATTACTGATAATGAAACCGAGGTTGTGTCAAGAAATTTAATTGGTGTGGTAGATATTGGTTCTAACGGTGTTAGGTTTAGTATCTCTTCGAAAGCTGCCCATCATGCTAGAATAATGCCATGCGTCTTTAAAGACAGAGTTGGTGTATCTTTGATCGATGTACAGTATGCTCCTAATTCGTTAACTAAAGGACCTATTCCTCCGGAGACAATAAATGATATATGTGCAGCAATGAAAAGATTTAAATTGATCTGTGAAGATTTTGGTGTACCAGAAAAAAGTGTAAGAATGGTAGCAACTGAAGCTACCCGGGAAGCTATTAATTCTCAAGAATTTATTGATGCAATTTATGATTCCACTGGATGGGCAGTTGAAATTTTAACTAGAGAAGAAGAAGGTAGAATCGGTGCTTTAGGGGTTATTTCATCTTTCAATAAAGTAAATGGTTTGTATATGGATTTGGGTGGTGGAAGTACCCAATTATCTTGGATCAAAGCTGTGGATGGGGAAATTAAACAATCATCGACACCAATATCTTTCCCTTATGGTACAGTAGCCCTTACCAGGAGATTAGCACATCAAGATAAGAAGAAAATATTCATGGAAATAAAAGAGGCATATGTTAATGCAATTCAAAAAATTGATATTCCCCAGGATATGATAGATGAAGCCAAACAAAAGGGTGGGTTTGATTTATTTACTTGTGGCGGTGGTCTAAGAGGAATTGGTCATTTGTTACTATCAGAAATTAAGGATTATCCGGTTCAAACGATCATCAATGGCTTTTCTAGTTCATATGAAGAATTTTCATCAATGTGTGATTATTTGATGTTAAAGGGAAGAGTTCCAGGTAAGAAGGATCATAAAATATTTAAAGTTTCAGAGAGAAGAGCAGCTCAACTGCCAGCAGTTGGTTTATTAATGAGTGCTATTTTCGAGTCATTACCGAAGATTAGAACGGTTCATTTCAGTGAAGGTGGTGTCAGAGAAGGTACAGTTTTTTCTATGTTGCCTAGAGAAATTCGCTCACAAGATCCACTAATTATTGCATCAAGGCCTTACGCACCACTACTGGCAAATAAATATCTTCATTTGCTGAGAACAGCAATCCCTTCACATGATATTCCAACAATCGTATGGAATAGAATCGCACCGGCATTATGTAATCTTGCATTTGTTCATGCTTCTTATCCAAAGGAACTCCAGCCTACTGCTGCATTACACGTTGCCACATCAGGTATAATATCTGGATGTCATGGTTTATCACACAGATCCAGAGCTCTAATCGGTATTGCACTATGTAACAGGTGGGGAGGTGATATTCCAGAACCAGAAGAACAATATATGCGTTCATTAGAAGAAATAGTGCTGCGGGACACAAATAAATATGAAAGAAAAAGGATTATATGGTGGACTAAATACATTGGTACCATCATGTTTGTTATATGTGGTGTTCATCCAGGTGGTAACATCAGAGATGGGTTCTTAAATTTCAAAATATTGGAAAGAGATGATACTAATGAAAAATTCAAGGAACTAACGATTGATGAAAAACTTGTTTCTTCTAACTCTACAGTAACTAACACGGCTTCTAATGCAACTCGTGATAACAATTATGAATTTGAGATTGTAGTCCAAATTAGTAAAGACGATTTGAAGACAAGTGCTTCAGTTCGTTCTAGAATCATAACTTTACAAAAAAAGATTAGAAAACTTTCAAGAGGAAGTTCGGAAAAAGTTAGAGTCGGTGTCCAATTCACTGAAGAGCAGCAAACTCAATCATGAACAATTCCCACAAGCAAGATAATTCTGTAATAGTACAAACATTTAAATAATAAATATATAATTCATTCAGATTTCTAATGGCTTACCTTATGTTGAAAATAAAATGAAAAGAGAAGTAAGAAAAATAGCATTTAAATATATAGGGGACAGGGTCAGATCATTACCTGACAATCTCCATCTTACAGATGTGGATGAACTCTCTGATCCACCAGAACTCTTATAGTTCTTATGACTTTTGGCATAGATAATGATGAGCATACAGAGACAGTGATAACCTTAATAGCCTAACCAGTAAATATGAGAACTTGTATATCATTGTGTACGACATTTTGACATTTCGATATCTAAATTTCATAAAAAGTGATTAATGAGATTTCTTAAAAAGAGGAAATTAGATAAAATAAGCTGATTTTGAAGTATAAATTAACATTTGCCACCAAAAGTTTAATATAAAATCGATTGTATATTTACTATACAAGATCAATTGGTTTTTATTTAGTGGGGTATATTCCGGTTAGAACTAATAGATTGAAGATATTTGGGTTAGAATGGTTTCTCTTGCAGATTTAGTGAAGAGTTTGAATATTGCCTTTAGCAATAAAGATTATGAAAGTTGTGAAAAATTATTGGCTCCAGTTAAGATTGAACTTATAAAGAGTAATCTTTTGATTCCTGATTTAACAAACACGAATGAGGTGTATGTTAATGATTTAAATATTGCTAAAAAAATTTTAGAGATTGGAGCTTTGGTTAGTATTTATACTTTAAAATTTGAAAATTTCCAAAATTATTTTTCACAAATTAGGGTATTTTATTTTTGTTCTAATCCAAAATTGAATGAATCAGAGTATAAATCTAAACTGATTAGTCTATATTTGTTGATCCTTTTATCACACGGTGATACTTCTGAATTCCATTCAGAATTAGAATATTTAAGTAAGCATATCACTAATTTAGAGGATGATTCATTATTATCATATCCAATTAAGGTTGAAAAATGGTTGATGGAAGGTGCTTATCAAAAATCATGGGAATTATTAGAAGCAGGTTCGAAAGTACCTGAATTTGATGTGTTCACAGAAACATTGAAAATAGCAATAAGAGAAGAAATAGCTCGTAACGCAGAATTATCATATGAAGAATTAAGTTTAACAAATATAAAAGCTTTGTTATTTTTAGAGAGCGAAAAGAAAGCAGAAGCTTTCGCTATTGAAAGAGGTTGGAAAATAGTAAAGGGTAACGTAATCTTCCCCGGAGAAGAGCCAGAGGTAGATAAGGAATTAAAGGAATTGGAGAAGGCTGAAAAACAAGAATCTACGCTAATTGAAAAAACATTAAACTACGCCATAAACTTGGAAAGCATTGTATAATTTCATATTTAGCAATATTATAATGAATTCATAACAAATATTAATAAATAACATTTAACATTAGTGTCCCTGTCAGATCGCTTATGTTCCCGTGAACAATAACTATATTAAAAAATGGTACAAATTAGTAATATAATCAAACAATTTCAATAGAATTCACAATTCATCTATCTATTCAGAATGTAATACAAATATTTATATATTTATGTATTTGAGACATTAAACGATTAATTAAAACCGACTTAACAAGGATAAGAAAAAAAATCGTAATCATAAAATAATTCGTTAATCATAAATATTGATTTCTCAAAATTTAATTTAAGCACCTAAGACACCAACAGATTTGCCAGCAGCCAATCTCTTTTCAGTCAAAGCAGCAATGATAGCAGCACCGGCACCAGAACCATCTTCAGCTGGAACAATGACAATTGGGTAGTTTTCTGGTTTGTCTTCCTTCCAGTCGTAGATGTCTCTCAAAGCAGCAGCAGCTCTTTCCTTGAAACCTGGGTACAAGTTGTAAACGGAACCATCAGCAGCAATGTGAGCGGTGTCGTAACCTCTCTTTTGACAGATACCGGCAATACCACACGCAGCGATTCTGGCAGATCTGGTACCAATCAATTCGGAAACTCTTCTGATCAACTTACGTTCTTGAACAGTGGTACTCAAACCCAAAGTCTTAGACAATAGTTCATCAGTGTTTTCCAAGTTTTCAAATGGATCATCTTCAATTCTTGATGGGAAAGAGGTATCCATAATATATGGTTTTCTCAACTTGCTACAGTCTTGACCCTTCAAAATGTGACCGTTGTCAACCATTTCTAAGATAGCCAAACGTAACAATTCACCTAAGTAGTAACCAGAGGACATCTTTTCAAAGGCTTGTTGACCTGGTCTTGGAGATTCTTCATCAATAATGATATCGTGTCTGTTTCTTGGCAAAACGACATGTTCATTGTCAAAAGAACCATATTCACAGTTGATGGCCATTGGGGTATCAGCAGTGATGTCAGCTGGCAATCTACCTTGTAATTTTTCAACACCAGAGATGACATCATAGTAAGCACCGTTAACACCAGTACCGAAGATAACACCCATCTTAGTTTCACCATCGGTGTATAAGGAAGCAACCAAAGTACCAGTGGTATCGTTAATCAAGGCAACGACACGAATTGGAATGTTTCTCTTTTCCAATTGTTTTTGCAACATCTTGACAACATCTTTACCTTCAGTTTCTGGGATATCGAAACCCTTGGTCCATCTTTGTAAGATACCTTCGTTAATCTTATCTTGGGAAGCTGGGAAGGAGAAGGTGAAACCTAATGGCAATGGCTTGGTACAACCTTCTGGGAATTGTTCGTTAACAAAAGCTTCTAAGGAATCAGCAATGAATTCCCATAATTCTTCTGGGTCTTGAGTAGTTCTCATAGCATCTGGTAATCTATACTTGGATTGGGTAGTGTCAAAAGTACGGTCACCACCCAACTTAACCAAAACAACTCTCAAGTTGGTACCACCTAAATCAATGGCTAAGTAATCACCACTTTCTTTACCAGTTGGGTAGTCCATAACCCAACCTGGAATCATTGGAATGTTACCACCCTTCTTAGACAAACCTTTGTCCAATTCAGAAGTAAAGTGCTTGACAATAGCCTTCAAAACAGGAGCTGGAGTGTCGTAAATCTTTTCGAAGTCGGCAATTTGGTCTAATAATTCCTTTGGAACATCAGCCATGGAACCTTTTCTCATTGGTGGTTTTTTTGGACCTAAGTGAACCATTTTGTATTGAGTTAATTAATTATAGGGGAAACTTGTGTAGTTTATGGTATAGACCGTCGGAAAGACAAGTGCTTGGTGTATTTAGAAACTTTGTATTATAATATGTAAATATAATTAATACAATTGAAGTTAAGGATATAAATTCGAGATAAATTAAAATAAGTTATGTCTATTTATATGAAAAATTTCGAAAAAATTGACACCCATAAGACGACAAACCCAACCCATTCAGGATTTATTTTTTAAGGAAAATACCTAATTTCTGCTCGAGGTGAACCAAATTGCCCAATCCTTAACGTACAATTAATTTTGTGTGTGGAATTTGTTTGGCCTTCAATCGTCATTTTGAGAATTTTCGACTTTTTACTATCCTTCTAGAACCATTTTATTGAAATAAAATATAACTAAAACCAATTCAAGTTTCTTTGGCCTCTACGAGAAAACATTCAATTGAAACAACTATCCCACAATGGTACCGCTACGAGTGGTAACTCCACGTTAATTATATCCAAGAAAGCCAACATTTGTAATTTTTTCGAACTCGAAAGTGATCAAAATGTGAAGCAAATTGCAAAAAAAAAAAAAAAAAGAATAAAACACAGACAAGTTTTGCGGAAGTAAAATATGGTAAGATTACGAAGAAATTTATGCAGATAAAATTCAATTGCATCAAACAAGGATAAGACCTTTTTTTTCATGATTGTAACTATTCACTTATTCTTGTTAAAAGTAGATTGAAATTATTGGTCTTATTTTCGAAGCCCTCCCTTGTCTTCTCTTTCTCTTATTAACATTTGAGAAACATTAGGAACAAAAAAACCTGGATAAAAAATGGTAGGCAGAACAAACTCTTCTAGACAAATTGATTGATTTTCAAGTAATATTTAATTGTAGTTATTGTACCATATACCTACAATATGCATCATAATCGTATTATGAACAAAATCAAGTTTAAAAAAAGTTCCGTACTTATTAAATTTTATTTAGAATGTTTTTTTTATTTTATCCGAAAATCGAACCAACCTTTCGAACTTTTGTACCATAAATCCTCTGCAAACCCCAGGAATAATTCGAGTTATTTCATTATCCCAACTGAAAAAAATTATTCAATTCATCATCAATCAATCTCCCTTTAGATTGTTCCAGTACTGTCTTACCGCTTTTTGTGGCACAAGAACGTAGACATATCAAATTGTTCAGATATCGACGTACCGAGCACATCAATTAGGGAAACAATAGTAGAAAATAACGATGCTAGTAGTAAAGTATAGCTTTCCCTTCTTCGAGCAAAGCTTTTGTGACTGTCAAAGCCAGAGAGACGGACGCAAGTACACATAAAATATCTTTATTTTACAAATTTTTAATTTCTTTTTTTTAAAGAAAAAATAAGGATATAATGTATGTTTATACAGAAGTTATAAAATTAGGATATCTTTTCTACGTATTGTTCTTTGTGGAAGAGCGACGGAGAAATTTCATTGTAAGTTTGTTTGTGTGTTTTTTAATCTCGAAAAATCAGTTGTTTTTGTGTTTTGTTTAATCAACAACCCAATCTTTTTCTGCCCTCCAAAGCACAATCGGTACAGTCGGCATTCGAATCCCCGACAAACCAAAAGCCTCCTCTGAGTATTGTCTGGCCGGCCAACAAACGTGCGGTTTATTTATTATTTTTTTTTTTTTTGCGTTTTTGTGTTTTCTAATGTCTTCTCCCTTTTTTTTTTTCTTTCTTTTTTTACCCTAATTTCTGAGAGCAAAAAAACACGAATTCGGAAGTTGTGTTGATACAAAGAGATTCGAAATACAGGTCGCCCGCTAATAGCGCGGTGTTCAGGTGTATTTAACGTCGTTCCCACGGAAAAACGTTGTGTGTATGATACTTTCTCTTATTCGTCGGAGAAAATTACGCACACAACTTGCATTCGAGAAATTTTCTTTTCTTTTGTGTCGTGTGGAATTTTTTTTCCAAATTCCTGTTTTCGTCATATCTCTCTAATATCTCGCTCCCCGTATCCCGTACGCCCCCTTTTTAATGCTCTTGATCTTCGATAGATGTGAGTTAATGTCAATTTTCCGGCCTAATCTCAGATGCCATTACTGGGATTTTCTGATTTCTTGATATTCGTAATTTTACTTATACTGTCCTGTAAGTGAATATTTAATTTACCACTCTTTGATAACTATTAATAAAAAATAAGATTATAATGATAAATTAGTAGTAGATTAAGATTCTAATAATGGCGTTTTAATCTATTATTATTTTTTTGTTTCCTGTGTATTTAATCGTGTGGGGTTAGAGAGTGGGGAGGTGATTAAGAGATATTGACCAGAATAATTTATGGGGTGTAGGGGGAATGACAAGTCTTAATATTCCTGATATTTCCACTATTTCGGTCGTACAAGGCAAGAAATTATTGATGGTTTTTTTTATTTGAATTTGGTGGTGGGGGGAGAAGATTTCCCCACCTAATGCGAAGAAGCAGGATTGAGTCTAATAAGATTTTTGACATCGTTCAGGTTTTACCATCATAATTATTATTGCGAGAATTACCGAATTTATTAGCTGTCGTAATAAAATTTGTAATACTAGATGACGAACGAAACTTTATAAATATTTTAGAAGAATATTCGTAATTTACGTTTGCAAGTGTGGAAATAGAAGAAATTATATTGTGAGAAACTAAATTATTAGCTCGGATAACATTTTAAAATGGTCGTTAAAAAGTTGCAGTTTAGTATCCTCTTAAAAACTAACGGAAAAGTTAGGTTATTGTAAATGATTTCTGTAATTTATAGCACAATTACATTTTTTTGTTAGAGTTACTTATGATTGGATACCTCTTCAGATTAGATTGGCCAAAAGCTATTATTTGTGGGTTCAGTTGTTAGTTCTCCTCTAGAAATTAAATAAGTACATATTATACGATGCTATTCATTTCTTCCTAATATGGGGTTAGATCCTTCGGATCTAACATCATCTACAGCCATTTATCATTTACCAGAATGGTTGGTTTTTCCGGTTATACTAATGTTTCAAATCTCAGAATGGTTATATATGTATAAATGTGGGGTCATGATTTAAATGGCACCTCTTTTCATTTAGTGTTAAAAATTAAAAATGCCGAATGGTAAAGTTTCATTCCATTTTATGTGGAGCAACAATGAAACCATCTTCAAAGCTAACAATGAAATGTGAGCTTCCAGTCACAGGCTCTCGATATATCTTTGAGTTTTTCTTAATCTTACACTTGGAACGAGCAATTTCTTGAAAATAATTGATCTCCTGTATAATAATCATTCAAATATGGCGATTTATTTGTTGTCTCGGATTTTCAATTCCAGAAGATTCAGCAATTGCAAAAGTATGGTCCTATATTCAATGAAATGTTATCGTTTTTAGTTTTCGAGTCTCAACCCAAAAAAGAATAATTGTTTTGTCGTATTTATTAGTTGATTTCTTTAAAGGGTGAAATTTTTAAATAAACGAAGTCTTTTTATTTCTTTTTTCAACTATAATGAATTGCTGCCATATTCTCTTTCAATTGAAATCGAGTACTTCTACAGGTCTGTGGCAACATAAATCACTGGATAAGATTGATATTATGCATCTCAAAATTATGGAATTAGAAGCTATTTCTCATCTATTACTATAAGGATAGAATTTTGTCACTCTAAAAGATCTGACATTATATTAAAAAAGAAATCATTCAGAGAGAGAAATGATGTATTCAATGTAGACGATCATATACGTACTCCTATTCTAAAACGTATTTGGAAAACGTTGATCACACAAAATACAAAGGATGATTAGCCTTATACAATAAGTTTTTGTCTTATCACGGGCTGGAGAAACTGTAGATTATTATAGTGAATAGTTTTGATGGTCTATATTGAATATAGAAAGTTCTTGAAGACACTTAAAAGTTTATCTAACATAAAGTCTACCTTTTATTGCTTATGCCTTAAATATTTGCTTAATATAAATTGCATTGAAATATTTGTTCTCAGGACTTCTAAATATTTTAATCATATTCCATTAGTCAATTATTAATAGCTATGTAAAATAAGTTGGTTTTTGCGTTTATATATATTGAAGTTTGTCATCTTGAGAATGTTATGGGGTATTTAGCTTTGATTGAGCTTCTATAAACACGTTTAAGATGAAACATGATCAGGGTCTAATAGTTTAAAAAGCAAATACAACGAAATAGAATATATTATTTATATAATCTTAAACCAATTTTAAGTAAAGAATATATATGCAATTCCGTAAGTTATGAAAGATCTCTTGTCATACTATTAGAATACAGATATAAGGATCCTATAATTTGGTATGCAATCCTCTGGATAATAGTAATAAGCTAAATGGCAACTTTGGGTTTAAAAGAATATGGATATGCATAAGAATGATAATTGTAACAGTAAAAGCACTGTTACATCTAATATCAATATGTCGAATATTTTAAGCGAGGAATATGTATCTTGTATATAATTTTTGCCCATAATTGGAAATAGGAAATTAAGGAATCAAAATCAACTAGGAATACAAACATATAAAAAACTGTATAAAATATGTTATTAATTCGTAATGTGTAAAATCACTTGATTATCATGTATTGTTTGGTCCGGAATATTAAATATTAATGTATTAAGTATTTATCTAGGGAAACAAGCCGTAGAAGTCAATACTTAAGGTTACTAGTTATAAGCTCTATGAGGTTAATTAACTATTATAATAACTATACAGTAGTATTAAATATATAAAGATCTCTATGGTGTTCTGTTTAATAACAAGAAGTGTATATCTTTACTTCAGGAACTATGTCCTTTATGTACGTTGTATTCGCGTTCTATTAGTGACATTCTTATCATGAAACATGACAAAGTCCTCTGTCCTTATTTTATCAATTTGTACTTAAGCGTAATCAATACAATCAAACCAAACCTGTTAATAATTCCATCTTCTTATAAATTGTAATTTTAAGTTTAAGTTTGTTTAAATT